AAATCACTCAAAATATATAGCATATACCAAATCCTATGAAAAATCTTTCTTTTAGTGGAAGAGCAGATGGGTAGTTTAGTGTGCCGCTATTTATTAATTAGACAGTTTAGTGTGCCGCGTCTTCGAAAGTATACACACCAAAATTGGTGCGGATCAGTTCAGAATTGCGAATTAAGGTACATAATAATTCTTACAAGTTACTGTCCTAAGGAATATATTTAGAAAAAAAATCAGTTTCTGAAATTAAAACAATTTTTAGAGATCTCTTATTCTTGGAAATCGATGGCTTTGTTCCTTCAACTATACTTATAGGCACAGGTTTAAAAAAATATAAAAATTAAGGTTGAGTTTATCTTATCAAGCCACTAAATTAATCTTGCAATCTGAGTTAATGAAACGAATAGTTATTTACTAATACTGTGGGAAATAAAACTGTCTACTTATATTGTGTAATACAAACATCATTGTAAGTATACTTGCTACCACACTTCTTCACTTCAAACTTCGCACACTTTTTTTAAAAATATAAATAGTATGTAGTGTGGTGAACAAGCGATTTTTTTCATGAAAATAATTTTTGAAATGATATTTTAATTTCATTTTATTTCTGATATATTTTCTCAAGACTGCTGACGCTAGGTGTTCTGACAACAGTCAATGCAAACGTGACGAATGCTGTATCAATATTACACATGAAGGAGAGTGTAAAAAAAAAGGGGACGATAGGTAAATATAATAACCTCTATACAAGTACCTAATCACACACAAAGACTTTTGATTTTTTCCTGTACTTAATTGAAATGATATTTGTATCAATCAAACCATCTAAGTAAAATTCATTACAAATCGCGATAAAACGAAAAATCTGCATTTGTTTTATGTTTCTGTTCAATTGATGAATAAGGGCAAAATAATACTACTGTAGTATGTGTTTTAATTTTAGATTGAAGATAAAACGAAATGCTGAGATTTCTCTTAGAACATTTTATTTAACAAACAATAGTCTAAAATCAACAAACTTAAACATAATCGGTTGTCCTCCGACCAAGCTAGCTAGCTAAGAGGCAGAAAAGGTCAGAACCAGTTCTTTACCTGACGGAGAATATTTATACAGAGATCACAGGTTTGCTTTTCCCTGAAGATCTTTACTCGCCAAGCTGGCGGTAAGACTGGTGAGAGTGGCGAGCACAGCACATTCACCCCTCCCAGTGTATCACTTACTATACTTTTTTGGAAAACGCATAGTTCTTCCAAACCTATTTTTGGCTTCCTGCATTACATGAGTACATAGAATTTCAAACTCTACAGTCTTTGTTGTTCTAGAACAGGGATGGCGAACCAATGGCACGCGTGCCATTTATGGCACGCGACACAATATATTGGGCACTCCACCGATCACAATTGTTGTTACACTATGAATTGTCATTACACAAATATTATCGCTATAACGCATACTTAACAATTAAATTAAAATTCACAAAAAACAAACAAAATATCGGGTTGAGTAAAAAGTTTTCCGCCAAAAAAAAAATCCTGAAAAATGACAAACACATGCAAAATCAGCTAAGCTAATGAGAATAGTTATCTCCATTCAAATCAACAATAGTCTGCCAACGTTTTGGCAACTTTTCATTCCCTTCTGCGAAGGACTGGGGGGTGCGCGAGTAGAGAAAGCAATTGACCTCATTTATGACCTCGTCATTTGAACGGAAGATTGTGCCATCAAGATGCAGCTGCAGATTTGAAAACAGATAGTAATCCGAAGGCGCCACGTCTGTGCTGTATGGTGGATGTTGTATCAAATCCCACTCTAACGTGTGGAGCGTCATGCCGGTCATTGCACTAACATGTGGCCAAGCGTTATCTTGATGAAAGAGAATCACCTTCCTTCTGCGCTCGTTTTCTCGTTTTTCGCGAATCGCATCGCTAACTTTGATTAGCATATTGCTGTATATTGTACTGTTGATAGCCTACCCGCTTTTAAGGTACTCCTTGTAGATAATTCCACGACAATCCCACCAGATGCGGAGAAGGACCTTCTTGTTAGTTAGTGTTCGTCTTGCAACCGAACTTGCGGATTCCCCGGATGCTGACCACCCTCCTCTACGGCTAGTATAGTTGTAGTATACCCATTTTTCATCACAGGTCACAATTCTGTCCAGAACGTCCTCTTTTCTTTGATCTCTGAGCAGAACCAAACACGCCGCTTTTCTCTTGCTCTTGTTTTCAGCAGTCAATTCGCGAGTCACTCAACGGTTAAACTTAACTGTTAGATTTATGCGTTTGAGTGTACTTGCTATTGTTTTTTGGCAAATGTCAAGCTCTAACGCAATAGTTCGTGTTGAAAATTTTTGTCTTGAACAATAATTTGCTTTAACTGGTAACAATCAACATCAATAGGGCGGCCAGAACATATTATTAATTTCCCAATAATCACGAAGTCAAAATTATTTGATGGCACGTCCGTCTATGACCTCATTAAGCAATTGTTTAGAGAAAATGGCACGTTGGTGTATAAAGGTTCGCCAGCCCTGTTCTAGAAGGTTGTAGCAGTTCACTTTCAAGGAAGGCAGGTTTCACATGACATATAGAAATTGTTTATTTTCGACCTCTACTGTAAACATCAAAAGAGAAGGTCTGATGGTAGAGATATACGTATTTCTTTAAATCCTCAACAAATTGGATTGGGGAGGTGTCCATTTGAGTAGAATCAAAAAATTCAATTGGAAGACAAAGTGTTGTTCCGTAAACGAGCTCTGCGAATGATGACTGCAAATCTTTCTTATACACTGCTCTAAAGCCCGACAGGATAGCTGTTAAGGAGCCTAGCCAATGGTCTGTAGTGTAAGCCTTGAGTGTGTAGCATTATTATTAATCGATTCATGAATCGATTAATGAGATGATTATAAATATTTTATTATATGTTGGATGGCAACAGCTACAGGAAAAAGAACAGCAACGATGAATAAATACTTACTTACTAACCTTCTGAATAAGATGTCTTGTATTAAAGCGATGAAACAACACTTCAATGGTGACTATGCGGACGATTTGAATTGATATTAATTATACCCATCAAGAATTTTGTTTAGTTTGATNCTTCGTGTCTTTAATAATGAAAGAAATTATTGCTGTTCAAAATTACACTGTCAGAAATTAATATTTAGTAATGAACGTTTAAAATGCCGACCGGCTGTGAAGGGGGAAAGGAACTGTTCTTGCATCAGAAAGGTCCTGGGTTCGAATCCCGGGCAAGGCATGGATGTTTCTTTCTCTCTCTGTGTGCTCTATATCCTTTCTCCTTTGTGAGTGAATGTGACCCGCCCTATAAGCGGGTTGTGGTTGTGTGAATGACGTGGCAGAATTCGAATTCCTGGCCATAGATGGCGCCACTGAAAAACTGGAACAACCCCACCCCCACTGCCTAAACAGGCATACAACAAAATAAATAAATAAATAAATAAAACACTTAAAATGCAGCTGGAGATGCGCGCGCGTGTGTGATCTACTTCTTAAAAGGGATTATTGCAAAAATATATATAGTGCCCTATATATATAATCAGAACAATAATTCCAAGTAATTGTTTTAGGCAACATATTTATATTTTTCAGGTCAAAGGTGCTCAACCTTTAAAAGAAACGCCTATCCTTTTTATTGTCCGTGCCAGGAAGGTCTTGATTGCCATGCTATTAATCTGGTAATTGCTGATATATTTTTCAATTAATTTTTTAACATTTTGGTTACTTTTTTAAATACATCTTTTATCTTAGAATGTGTGTTAATAATTTAATCTTAAAATCATAAAATAAATGTTAAATTATATTTATTATTCTCTTTAAAACATTAAGTTAATTTTGAGTTAGTTTTTTTTTATTGAAATAAAAATATTATTTTTTACTTGATGAAAGTAGAAATTGGCGTCATATTTAAGGCAAAATAAACTGAACAATCTAATCTTTTTAAAATTTTTAGAAATTAAATAATAAAATATCACAAATTTCTTATATTCTAACACTCTACTTCAATTTTTATTTACAATCGATTAATGATTAAAAGACTGAATTAGATAAAAATATACATTGCATTACTCGCAAGCAATCTCTTGAAATCGTTAGTGAAAGTATTGACGGTAGGTATTGACTTATTCTTTTTATATTTATCAGTGTGATTTTTTTGAATATGTAATATAGAAATGTTTAATAACTATGTTGTTATAATGTTTGATGTAGGTCTTTTTGTATTACTTTATCATTTTTAAATATTAAGTAAAAAAATACTTCATAGATATACATCAGTAAAAATAATGCTTATATTAAAAGAAAAAAAACTAATTAAAGCTTGTGCTTTTTGTTATTTAAAAATTGTTTTTTTACTTATAAATAAAAATTAAAACAAAAATTATGGAAGAAAAGAGCATTAAAATACCTAAACTGTTTGTAGATTTAAGGGTATTTTTTTTGTTTGTATTTTTCTCCATTAATATGGAGTTCCGCGGTGGACTGATCGTTAAGACACGGTTCCCAGCAGATCACCGAAGTGAAACATCACTGGTTGTGGTCAGTGTGCATGTGGGCGACCACTTGGAACAGTTAGCGTCGAGACCGAGGGTGTGCGGCATTGGTCCTCGTTAAACTGTTCTACCGTAAAGTGCTCGACTTCGTGAACAGGTCGTCGGGCTGCCGAAGTGGGGGCGCCATCCCCTGTGCAGAGGATTAAAGTTGTGATGGCATGTCTTCGGATCATCCTGTGGGATGTTTCCCTGGCCGTCGCCAATAGCCCATTTTTCAACCCTAGTGCGACGTAAATGAACTACACCAACAACAACCATTAATATGAGTATTGGATTGTTTCAGAAAAGTTTAAAACTGCGCAGTAATAACGTTTAATATAAAGATAATAAACATTACTACTTTTGCTCAAAAGTTTTATAATTTTTGAAGAATTGATTTAATTTTCTCTTTTCATTAAATGTTTTTAACTTTTAAATAGGAAAAGGAAAGTAAAAATGTTTCAAAAAATATTAAAAAAATCCAAACTATTAAATGCTTATTCTTCTATTATTTATCAGTATGATAATTTGAATATGCCATATAGAAATATTTAATAGCTATGCAGTTATAATATTTGATTGAAAGTCTTCTAGCATTACTATATCATTTTAAAATATTAAGGGAAAAATACTTCATAAATATATTGTAACAGTTAATGGTTATATTAGAAAAAAATTATTTGTGTACTAAAGCTTTTTATTTAAAATTGTTTAATTTTCATTTATAGAGTGGGGAGAGCATAGTAAGTATTTTCTGAAACGTAGAAAGATTTCTTTTGTAATTTTTGAAGAACTTATTTAATTACTTTTTATAAAATGTTTTTTAACCTTTAAGTAAGAAAATCAGAAAACATTTATTGAAAAATCAAAAAAACATTAATAATCCTAAACTACGTGAAGTTATCTTTCAAGAGATCTTTTCTTGGCCTTGAAAAGCAATTTTTCTGCCTAAAACATTCCAGAAATGCTCCATGGAATAATATCTTTTTATATAGATTGCTTCGTTATCCTCTGAAAATCACCAATGTTCTGTGTGAACATGCATTGTAATCCTTAAAAATTATCTTAGGACCCAACGTAGATTCTGAAAATACTTATATGGGACTCTGAAATGTACTCCATATAATTCAGAGAATAAAGGTGGAATTTTGTACACTGCATATGATAATAACGGTGAAAAATTGAGAATTTTGCTCCTATATAAGAAAGCGTGTCTGACAGCAAATATCTGCAACCAACGATTCACTGGTCAAGATAACAGCACTTTGGCCTCCCGGGTCCTTGTTTCTCTTCGTATGAAAACACGACAAGAATCATAATTTTGAATGAATCAGAATACACCGAAAAGAATATATACCATTTATAAATACACGGAAAAGAATAGTATTTTATTACAGTTAATAAAAGTTTGAAGTTATTTGCATAAAGGAATGTTAATTTCTAATGATTAAAATTACTTATTATTATGCAAAGATTCCCTCCCTCTAAAGAAACTACATGAACTTAAATTTGAAAAATTTATGTAATCAAGTTTCATTGTTTATAAATGTTCTTAAATATGTACTATAACATTTCAAAAATATGTATTATATTCAGAACAAACTATTTGGACCTAAAATAAAAGGAAGAATTCTTTATATATAAATATATTGCTTCTATATTAAATTAATATATTAAAATAAGCATATGAGCCAATTTTTATGTGATTTAGATTTTATGGTACATATTTTTCCTTTATAAACAATACACATCATCTTAACCATTTCTATTTATGCGTCTTTGGGTGAAACCATTTAAAAAGTCATGACAGCAAAATTCATTAATTATTAGCTATTGGAAACTTAATACAATCTACGGATGAAGACTCTGAGACTTGTTGCCGTAAGATTAAAGCTGCATTATGCATAAATCCGTTAACCTTAGTGTCATAATCATGTGTGGCATAAAGGCAAATCTTCTGTTTCTGTTGATTCAGAAATCTAGAAAACTGTCTCCTCAGAAATATTTTTATTAAAAAGCAATTCAAAAACAATTCAAAAGCCTGGGTTTGACAAACATGCCTATGCTTGTTTCTTAGATGAAATTCAGCCCCATTTAATGAATTACTTTTTGATATAGTCTCCTATTAAAATTTTGGATAATTTGTTGTACTCATTTGTAATATCACTGAATTAATTGTTATTCCATTCAACAACAACTTTACAAAATAAAGGATTTTAATACGGAATAGAACATTCATCTTCTTAAAACTTTTTCAAAAATTTTGTAAAACTAAGTAACTAATTTATAATATTCTGCTCCTATAGTAAAAAAAAAATCCATTCCCCAAATTTGAATTAAAATAAGTTCATATTTTTTGTATCAGCTTTAAGCGAGTTATTAGTTGCTTAATGTTCAAGGTGAGTGGTGACATCTTTTAGCTGATTCCGAAACAGAAGTTTTTCTTACAATAATTTTTTAAGATTTTCATATTTTTGTTTTTCCTGTAAGCACTTATTCTAAAATCGTAGATTTGATTTTGTATTGATTGGGAAGAAAATTTTTAATACGTCAAAACTTTTCTTGCCATCAAATACTAGCCACGTATCTTTGCAAGCAAATATTTTTTTTAGACTTTTCCAATATTGGAATTCTGAGCCACTATTATTATCGAGAATTAGAAAAAAATTCTGTCTGTCATTGCGAAGACTCGAATAGATAACAAGTATATTTGTTCACGTGTTAGTGCAAAGCTGTTGCCAGTAGCTCATTGGCTGACACATGACACTCATTTTATACTCTGCTTTTGAATCATATTTTTGATAAAATTATACATTTAAATACTACTTTTAACTGAAAGAGAAATTATAAATTAACGATCGCATCAAAATTAAGTATATTTCCCTTATAATATTTAAAAATCTCAATTGTATGCGTGTCGCCTATTGAGAACATAGTTATGTTTCCTTTAAATTTTCATGAGCAGTAATAGATTTTTTTAGTCATTAAATTGAAAAATTAGGTGCATTTAACTTTTGATAAACTTTTAATTTTTGAAACACGCATTTCAATTATCACTAGTTCACTAAAAATGATTTAGTTCCAAAAGTTGATAAACGAACTTGAATAAGTTTACCCTTGTCTCCAGGCCTATATCCAGACCTGAATCAAATTGAATATGATGTATTTTCTAGATATATTAGTTGATCCAGAAACTTTTGAGTACTATAAATTGTCTCTATGACTTAGCAATATTTAATGTCAAGAGTCCAAAATATAATTCTTTTAAGACATCTGCCTTTTCCGTAAATGGCTGAGGATTGTTTAAGAAAACAGCACTTCCGTCTGGGGCACCTTGTCCATATAAATCCCTCTACAAGAGTCAATTTGATTCATTATTTTTGAACTATTTTATTGCGATGTTAAGAATTTCATGATTTTACAACTTGAATTTTACTATCGTTTTTGTCATAGTTTGATAAATTTTCACATAAAAGTAGTGTGGATTTCTTTTGATTTTAATTGAGTCGCCCACAGAAATGCGTTTGTTTTTTAAACTTTTGTAATTATTTGCTGAATGCTATTATTTGATGTTTCAAGAGCGTTGATACGAAGGATTATGTTGCGAGGATATGGTGCAACAACTGACATTAAATTAATCGCACTGCTTTTATTTTATTGGAGATTAAACTTCAAATTGATTCTCTGAATTCTACTTTTCTTTTTTCCAAAATAAAGAAATGCACGTTACTTAACTAATCGTTTGCTTTCTGAGAAATGGAGTTCACTGTAAAAAATTCCGGATCGGATTCCGGTAAAAAGTTCCAGCACTGAGTTGTGTAATAGTGTTTACTTAATCACTGTAATTAAATTGGTATTACAGTTTAAATAACGATAAAAATTTTACGGTAAAAATGTTTGAGTTAAAATGGATTTTACTGACACTACACTCATGTTGCCTGCACGTTTCTTTTATCTTAATTTTATCCTGATGTTTTTTACAATGTTACAGTTATATGCTAACATCGATGGTGGTGCTGCAATAACAACACACTTTCACGTAATTTACGAAAATGACAGAAATTTTAAAAAAATTATTCTCACTTCTCCATTATGGCAGTTAGTAGTACGAATGGAGTTTATGGAAGAGATCACGAGTTGCAATTCCTGTGAAAAAACAATTCCGCGAAGAAACAATTCAGCGAAGAAATCAATCCCGTGAAGAAAAACTGATCTGTGAAAATCTTGAATGAGAAACTGGTAGATTTCTTAATCTTCATAATATATACATACGACAAGATAAGATCTGCATAAACACAATTTTTCACCCTCAACAATAATATCGGAACCGAAAATATGTCTGAACATTCTGACCTAGAGATCTAAGATCTCAACCCTATACGTCATAAAAACTAGAACTACTTCCTGAGAAATGTACAGGTCTGTGTCTCCAATATATGACGCCAAACCACGAAACCTCGACTCACTTCACTTCTTTATGTTGGAGGAAAGTGGCTGTTTAAACATTTAAATAAACATTGAAGTAATACACAAAATATGACACTTTATAGATATTTATCAACAATACTATTCTAATGTGTTATATTTTTTAAAAATGTCATGTTGAAAAATGGAAAATACATATACTTATGATTTTAATAGTCAGAAAATTAAGAGAGTAGATAATTTTTTTGTAATGGATCATTTTTCGAAGATTAACTAATTAAACGTCACATCCAGTAAATTTTATCTCATGTGGTTTCCTTGAAATAAACAATTAATTTTAAAAATTTTAATTAAAAAAAATTATTAATTGTTTTGCGCAAAGTAGTAAAATTTCTTGTGAATTGATTTTTTGCAGTTTTCTTTTTGTTAAAAACACTAAAAGTAACTTAATCGAAAGTGAACTAAACGTATTTTATTTGCATGGTTCTAAATAGCACAATTATTGTCCTCTTTCAGAATCTTGGACATTGTAGAAAGCCTGAAAGCAAGTAATGATATCTTTGTTAGAACTGTAAAATGTTGCTCACGAGGTTATGGGAAATACAACATGTTTAATTTGATACATAATAAATTATTAAATAATGTATTAAAAATGTGTTTTCTTGATTTCATGTGTGTCTTCTTTTGTAAATAACATGAAATGAAAATTATGAGATAAGTCAGATTAGGAATCTTTCTTTTTTCGCATCAAGCTAATAGTAACAAGACAATCAAATACTATACCAACGAAAAAAGAAAAAAAAAAGGATCCATAAATTTCAAGTGCAATTATATATAATCACTAAAAGTTATTATGCGTTATTTCTAAATTCAGTTTATTAGCAAAGTAGTTGTATGTTATTGACAACGATCTGGAAAACATCCTAAGGATGATCCTTAGACATGCCTTCCCAATTTTGATCCTCCGTAGGGAATAGCTTCCTCTTTTTGGAAGAGCGGCTTAAAAGCAGAGCACTTTATTGCCAAGCATTTTAAAACGATTATTAAAAACGTAGCACTAAAGTTGATATTTTTTTCATCGAATTAGCTTTTTTAATTTATTGTTAAGTCCAAAATTTGGTGACAAGTTTCAAGGACTGACATAACAATCCTTATAATACGAAACTTTCATATTCATTTTATGACTAATAGCAATTGCCATTTGTTGCAGTTAGCTTCTGTGCTCATCTATAAAAATGTTTGGAATTAATTTGTGAAATAGAGTAGGACGGGAAAACTGAATTTTTTATGCCTTAAATGAAATAAATAAAGAAATTAAATAAAATTGTTTGAAATCGATTGCTTTGCTTATCGCGCTCAAAATTTATAAAAACGTATTTGAGTTTTTAAGACCTCTTAATGTGCAACCATTATTCGAATGCTTCTTATTCCTATTTTCTAATTAAAAAAACTTAAATTAATTATAATGTCATAATTCTTTCATATTATAGACTGATCGAGCAATATATTTGAAAAACGCTATCTATCCTACTTTTTTTCAGTTTTTTTTCGACAGAACGAAATTTAAATGGTTCTCGAAAATAATTTGGTTCCTGAAAGTTTTACGCCAAATTTTGAGCCAGATGCTGACAATGAATTGAAGAATGTATTTATCAGGCAGGCATATAAATGTCAATACACCTGAGAGATTTTTCATCAGAGCGAACAAAATAAACACAGTTTTTTTTTTCATTTGATGTCGTTTTGAAGAAGAAATTAAAATTTCAGTTGATAAAAATAAAAAAAGCGGGATATTTAAAAAAATGCTAGGGGACTAGAAAAAGATTTTAGAAAAATTCATTTATTTTTACACTGTCTTTTTTCAGAACATTTCAGCTTAGTTACTATATACATTATTAGGAAAATAAGATTAATTAAAGAGACAAAAAATTATTCAAGAAGAACATATTTAAAATATGATCTTTTTAATATTTGATCATAACATCTGATCGCACATTTCCTGAACTTAGGAAACACTTTAGTGTTCCAACGGAGCTAATGCAAGAAAATTAGAAGTTATAATATCCATAATACCTCATACATTACCAATAGTACAAGAAATGTATCCAAAAAAATTAATATAGTTTATTTTTCCGCGGCGGAGTTTATTTTAAATATCCAAATATTACCTTCTAATTCAGTGCCTTGACTCTTGCCCTGTGCATTGTCTTGTTTTGAATTTCGATTTTTACAGCCAGATTACTGAATGCCTTTTTTTTATCATTTTCAACCATATCTAACAGAAAATTACAAAACGAAGAAAAGACATATTTTCTTTCAGTCAAAGTTAAAAGTTAATCGCAAAACAAAGCAATGTTTCAATTCCTTGAAAATTTCACGCATTGCTGAAATTAAATTATCAATTATTTTTGTATATCTAACAGATATGATATATTTCAAGATTAATGTAACTATATTGTGCTTTCTTTTTCCAATTTTCAGAAAGATTGAACTAACTTTATATATGAATGACTTGAAATTTCTCTATTCTATTTGCCACAAATAGTCACTTAGAATGCAACACTATATATGACCGACTTAAAATTTCTCTATTCTACTTGCCACAAGTAGTCACTTAGAATGCAACACATCAGTCCAGGTATATAGTTTTAAATATTTATTTCACATTCGATTCTTGGTTGCTTGACCATCTGGTATCGGGATTCTCCAGCTCGCAAAAAGAACGGGAAAACACAAAACGGTATCTCCAGGGAGTTGCCGATATTATATCTAAGTCGGATTTGAATTTTGAGACTGGATTCTTCTCTGAAAGACTCTTGACGAAGTATTTTTTATCTACTCTCGATCTGAGCATGGATGTCTCAAAGTTGAAAATTAGTGATGCAGTTTTAAAAGCTGTCTCTCTCGAAACAATGGAATATTTTACAATGGATAAATTATAAACAATGGATTAATTATAAACACAGCAATGGTTAAGAATATATAAGGACGATCCCTCACGGCCATGAACTTCCTCACACCTTTAGGAAGCCACTTATCACTGACTTCAACTGCCCTAGAACCTTGACATCGGTAATAGCAAGTCTTAGAAAATATCATTTCACAGAGATGAAAATTTCTCCCGGACAAAACTTGGACATACGTTCCCTACAGAAACTGCCCGGAAGTTATGTTGGCATAAACACATTTTCGAGTTCCCCGTACTCACCACACATGTTTTGAAATTGAGATGGGCACCATTTGAGGACAATCTATGAGCTGTTCATTATAGTCAAGAGGCGCCGAAGCTGACGGTAGCACAATAGTCCAGACCTTTGATGTTGTCTGAAGATCTATGGATATGAAAACAGCTTCCCTGAGTGAGCGGATGTGACTCAGATGAGTACAGTTTTTTTTTACTTTTATATTTAATTGAAAACACCCAATCATATGCATCAGATTGTATTTTTGCAAATAGTTAGAAGGGAAAGCGCGTTTACAGATTGCGATTTTAGCTCTTAATTTTACCGTTTGCAGTCGAGGTTTTTTCTACAATAAATATAGAACGCAACATCTAAGAGTTTACAACTCTCAATTTTTCCGGTCACCACATAACGCATGGAAACCATAAATAAATTGGTCACTAAGCTTTGAAGTATAAAAATGTTAACATTCATAGTAGTGAGTGATTTTTTGTGCTGGACAGACACCCTCGATCTGTACAAAGATCTGTTGTTGTTGTTGCCGCTTATCCTCATCTGGCCTGGCGAAGTCAGATCAGATCTATGAACCCATTGATCTGAATGAAATCGAAGACCGAAAGAGGAGTAGAAAAGATGTCCTCCCAGAGAAGACCAAGACGATCCTGGATATGATTGGCGGAAGCACGGTGTAGATGGCATTTAGGGCAGAGGGGGTAGGTTTTAATGCCATTAGAAAATAGTAAACCTTTCACATGGCTGGTAGGTAGACAGGAGAGGATGGTGAAGACTCTCCTTTCAAATGGGAGATTTAAAGAAACTCAAGGCTTATTTCCTTTGTACCATTGGTGGGTCGGAGGAATCAGCCAGTCCCTGAGAAGCTGGGATTTCTTTAGGGAGTTAAGTTCAAGATAGGTGAGATCGGAAGAGGTAGGGTGCGGTAGGCTGCAACCCTCTTTAGCCAGGCTGTCCTCTAAGTTGTTGCCGTAGAGACCGTGAGAAGAAACCAGTTGACAAAGATCTAAATTAATACATCTTATGTGACACGACGAGTTGAATCCGTGAAAATGAATGAATCTAATCTTATCTTGCTCGAATATTTGAACTCGTTGAATATTTGTACCAAACAGTTTTTTTTTTATATTTAATTGTCAATTGTGACTACCTTAGAAAAATTACACACTTGTTTTTTTTTGTAGTTACAACAGACAATTTGATTCTCTCTTGAAAAAAAGCACCTAAAACTAAAAAAAATATATTCTTTTTTCAATACTTTGCTCTGAAAGAAAATTACCTCGAGGTTCAATTGTGGAACATTTTTCCAATCTGCTTCGTTATCATATATGGGAACGTTACTTTCAAAAAGTAATGAGTAATGATTACAAGTAAAGTAATGAGTAATGAGTACAAGTACAATTACGAATACAAACTTAAAAAAGTAATGAATTTAAAATACACTTCGTGGAATTTAAAAATTAAAAATAACCTCAAATTTCATCAAAAAATGTATGAAAAAAATATTAATTTAAAATAAAATCAATTTTAATTTAAATGTCAAAAATTTAAATTTCAGGAAAATGTTACAATTATGTTACAAAATGTTGTTATGTTATGTTACAAAATGTTGTTAATTTTGAAACTAGCAAATCTTTAGAAATTATGTTTTTTTTTTTACTTTCGGAATTTGTAGCAATAAATTAATTTGCTGAACAAATTTGATAACATTATAATTTTTGCTTTAAAGAAATAATTAAAAAAAAATCGCATTCATCTATATATAACCCCTTGAAATTCAATAAATTCAAAATTACAATTCATTTTTATAAAAGTTAATATTTTTGAATTTTAAATAGTAAAGATTTTTTAATTTGTCGTTGATTTTTTACTAATCAAAGATTGAGAGCTGAAGTTGAATTTTTTAATTGATTCATATGAGGAACTGAATGTTTTTATGGAAAAATTCGAAAAAGGAGAAAAAACGATATTCATTCAAAATCAAAGGAATAATAAAATTCAAGGAATTTTTTTATGCTAACTATATTTTAATTAAATGAAGCATAGTTTTATATTTTGAAACTTAATTTCCAAAAATTAATTTTCCTTCAAAAAATGCTTGGTCTAGTAACGTTAAATAAATCGTTGAAATTATTTGGAACTACACACATTTTTGACAAAAATATTGCTTGTCAAAATTAAATAAATGGATTTATTTTTATTGATATGACAAGCATCTTTTTCCGAAGTATAAATCTATATATTAATAGACTGGCAATATTTTGTCTCGCTAAAAACTCCCAGATTGTATTAAATTTCTAAATAAAATTGTCAATGGTACATTTGGTGATCTTATTGAGATATATTCTCTGCTACAGCTCCAAATTTCTCAGCTACATGAAGAAAAGATAATCAAATTGTGAAGGGGGCAGAGAAGTGTATAAATTTCATTAAGTGATTGATTTCAATATCTGGCATTTTTATTTTAAAATTTAAATTTGTTAAAATATTTTTATAAGATTGCGAAGCAATATGCAATGGAACTGCGAAGCAGTTCTGGGGGTTGGCGAGCATAGCGAGCAGGGGGTGGAGCCCCCTAGTTACAATTATTGCTGTATATTTCTAACAGACAAAATTTAAATTTCTAATGTAAGTTTTTACAGAACTTCTTGTATTATTATAAGAGAATCATATTATTCAACTATTTAGCTTTTATAGATAACAGAATGTTAGTTTATTAATATATAAGGGCTACAGAGAAGTTATAAAAGGGTTGGTTCATTCCGTACGCAAAGCTGCAGCTCCGCGTCCCCACCTCTTGACGTCACGCCGCACACAGATCTCAAAAATCAGAGTTAGAGGATGAGAAAACTTTGCTGCTTTCAGTAAGAAATGAGTTGAATGTTCAACACTTCTCAGATAATAACTGTCAAACTTTACACTGCTGGCAAATTATTTCTGCTCAAAAATATAGTATTCATTCATTTTCTTTGTATTCCTTACAGTATTAAAAAATCTTTTTAAAGTTAGAAAAATATCTCAATGTTGTCGTCATCGTTTTCTTATAATTTCCTAGTTTTAGTTTTTAACTTTTGCTGTTAAATAAATGAAAGCATATAAGAACACTTTTATAGTAACATATTGTCCGATAATAATATGTAACTATAAAAGTCTCCTTATATTTTATTAATTGGGATGCCTAATTTTAATATACTTAATTATTTATAACTGTAATGGCAGTTTTTTTGTATATGTTATTACTAGGAAACAAAAATCTTAAATGCTAATTACTTAAAAAGAAAAATCTTTGAGCTTATAATAATGGAAATATTACTCTTGCTCAAAAATATTTAAATTAAGGCATTTTAATTAAACCACATAAATAATTTGCATAATAACTTTAAGAAAATTTAATTTTCACTGTCTGAATTTAATTTTTACGATCTCTGGGCACAGTCTGAATTCTCACGGAAGGTAATCGCCGTCTATTTGTTATAATTAAAATAAATACGGTAATGAAAAAACTATAGCAAAAAACCTATGCTTAGAAAGAATAATTTATTCTTAATTAGATAATTGAAAAAACACCCAAAATAATTTTTTTTACACTAAAAAGTAGTATCAACGAAACATTAGTTTCCTGACATTCGGTTCAATACTTTTAGTGAGGTGAAGACGCAAGTACCCTCGTTGCACAATTTCAAGTTGATTTCTCTTTTTAATTTGTGATAAGATCCGTAACAGCCCTGAATCCACGTTCGACAAGGTTGGAGAAAAGAAAGGGATTTAAAATTTTTTTAACGATAGTCCGCAGTCCAAGGTAGAGGCGACTGATGTCACCTTGGAGCCAAAATTTTGTGAGACAATCACCACTTCAAAGTTTCATTAGTTGAAAGTTTGACCGATTCCTCATAAATCTTAACCTCTGTGGTTTCAATATTCACAAAAGGGTTCATAACCCAATAACCCATTGAGAGATTTCCAGGGAACAAAACATCTTTAAAATGGTCAGAAAAGTTCACGCGCAAAGAGTCAAGGTGTAGACAATATTCTAGTTCATCATCAGGGCGCATTTCACCTGCTTGGCTGAACTCATTCCAACCAAAATTCTGCTTCCGCGAAGTGAATTTTTTCAGAAAGACAGAAATGACTGATTTTGTCGGGATAAAATTGAGCTCGTTGCCTTGAAGTTGTGAATTAATGCCATTAAATTTAAAAAAATAAATCCTCCTACGTCTTTCTTAAATTCTAGCAATCTGTCTCTCAGAGCTACATCTCTGTTTTAGAGGAACTCAAGTACAGAGTCGAAAAGATTCCAAAACCTATTAAGACAGGCGCCTTTGGAAAGTCAGAGAATCTCGGTGTGCAGTAGCAAGCGATTGAATTCCTCATCATACACAGGTGTCTGAATAATCAATCGTTGAGAGTATAACTGGGGATATCGTTCACAGCAAATATGATATATTGCAATAACTGATGCAAATGGTCGCTGAGATTTTTTCCTACTAAATGAGGGTCTGTGAATCACGCAGTGAACAGCTAAAATATCTGGTATTTCCCATTTCAAAAGGGCGATAAACCCACGATGTCGACAAACGTTTGCAGGAGCTCCATCAGTGACTATCGGCATAATATTGGCAAGAGCAGTGTTTTTCTCTGCAAAATAATTTTGGTCTGTATTAAAAATAGATTCCCTTTTGGTATCTACAATCAAGCTTCTTACAAAAATCATCTCTTGAATACTTTTTCCTACCTTTACAAACCCAACCAACACCTACAGTAAAGCCTACATTGCATGGCAAGTTTGATTCTTCAATTCGAAGGGAAAATTTGTTGGATATCAATAGTTTGCATAAAGAAACTTCAACGTTTTCAGCCATCTCACCATTTCGTCCCAGCACTGTATTGTTGCTTAATAGGATATTTTTGATTACATTGGATGTGGCTGGATGGTGTAAAACTACTATTTCTAAAACTTCCATGACAATCGGCAGTATCAACTCTGTTCCGATGGTATGAGCTTTCTCAGAATTAGCAATAAGTTTTGATGTATTGTAAGAAGCTGTCAAACCATCGTCGCATTTTTGTGATGAGGTTGCTAGCAGCCCTGAGACCGAAAGTGCCTTCAGAAACTTGTCTTTGATGATCGTGAAAAATGAGAAATCTTATTTTGTTTGTCAGCATGAGTTTTTTGCAAATGTTCCTGTTAACGGAAAGATTTTCATTGTCTCATTATATAAAACTTTGTTACAAAGATGAGTTGAGAGTTCAACAGCTATTGAACAAATCCAAACTTCAAGTACGTGGCACGGTATTGAAGACGACATTGTTGGTGTCAGCAAAATATAAACGATAAAAGAAAATAAACTATTTCTCCAAATTAATAAATAATTTATGGTAAAGAACTAGTTTGCGCACATACCTGACCAAATAAACAATGAGATCTATTCGAAACTGGGGAAAAAACTGTAAGGAAAGTAACGAAAATCATCATAAGAAACACGAGTCAAATCAAACATTCATACCGAAAGCTCATGCACTTCGATTTTCGCCAAATGACTTGAATAAGTCAGAGCCATTCGCGAAATAGCTTGAATGAATCAAAGTTAAAAACTACTGACCCATGCGCTGCGCTGTGTTGGTTCGGATCGGAGAATAGGTGCCGTATAAGTTCGTTTTATTGGTGGTACGAAAGGTGTATCGGATCTCAGTTTAGTTTATTATATTAATTCAATCTTAGTTTATTATATAAATTCAAACTTTTTTTCCTTAATATTAATTTTAGATTAATTTTATTTATTAAATAAGTTTAATTTAAAAATTTTATTTGTGAGTTTTAAAATTAAATTTGAAAGGCAGAACATGCTCATAAACCCCCTACCACCCAAAACAAACTCAACGCCCCCTTCCGCCCAAAACAAATTCACCGCCCTTCAGCATACTTTTCAATGGGGGCGATACCGCCCCGGTTGAGAAACAATGATTTACATGAAGTCAATGTTCTTAAATTTTCGAATGCTCGAAATTTTTTAGGCTCGAATACTTTAGAATATTAAAGAATATTTTTTGCACCTAGTTTGTTATCAAAACTTTGGATTTTCTATTGATTTTTCTTTATTGATTCTGTGTTTTGTGAAGTGCTTTAGAGATTCTTTTCTTTTAATTTACTCTTACTTGCTTTAATTTACAACTTGATGATGCATTCTCTGGTTTTCTACAAGTTCCATCAATCAGAAATGAAAAAATATTTGTGAAATTTATTTGTGAAATTATAAATTATTTATAGAAAAAAGTCTGAAAGGGAAAAATAATTGTGCTATTTTGAGACATACAAATAAAATGCTTATATTCATTCAGTTTTTTCAAAGAAGAAAAATAGTTTAATTTTTAAATTACAAATTATTTATCGCAAAAGTCTGAAAGAGAAAAATAATTGTACTATTTTGAAGCATACAAATAAAGTACTAACATTCATTTAGTTTTTGCAACGAAAAATAAATAGTTTAATTGCGAAATTATTAATTATTTATAGTAAAGAGTCTGAAAGGGAAAAATGATTGTACTATTTTGAAACATGCAAATAGAATGCTAACATTCATTTAGTTATTTCAGAAAAGAAAAAAAATAGTTCAATTGTGAAATATAAATTATTTATTTTAAAAAGTCTGAAATGGAAAAATAATTGTACTATTTTGAAACATACAAAAAATGTTAACGTTCAGTTAGTTTTTTCAAAGATAAAATAGTTTAATTGTGAAATTCTAAAGTATTTATCGTAAAAAGTAGTTGCTTTTTCAGAAAAATTCTCACTTTCCTTTGTCTATTAAACCCTTATGACACATTATCAAATACAAGGAAAAAAAAGTTATTTATTAATATATTATTAAAACATACATGATGCATAAATATTTTCTGCTTTCAATTATGCTAAAACTAATATAGTAATATAAATTGGAAAAATCAGGCACCGGAATTATCTGGAAGAAAGAGCCAAAATCTTTTTGTTTCCGCTGAAAAAAATGAAGCAACACTGGTCAAAAGTCGATTTGTTTTTGCTTAAAATGTGAATAAGAATTAGAATGATTATAATACTTGAAAAAATGTGTTGCTGACATACATTAGTTGTCAAATATTAAAATTCAGTTCATTTCACAAATGCTTTTATGTTTCTTAATAAAAATCAACAATTTTAAAAGGACGATTGCTCCTCTCTAACTTTGCTCAAAAACTTTATTATTTATTTTTTTATTTCAACTATGCTCTACGTATTAAATTGAAAAAATAATATTTCTCAAAAAATAATATTTCTTATTTCTGTTTTTGATGCATAAGTTTTGAAATGCAAGAAGATAAACACATATTAAACTCCAGTTTTTCAATTTTTGTTGTTAAAATTGAAAGAAAAGAATTATAATTACTCTCATCTTGTGATGCAAAAAATCTTTTTTTCGGCCTTCGTTGTCTAATAGGCTTCATTTTTCAAGCAATTTAAATCTTGGTTTTTTAGCTCAAAAATACAGTTACTGTGTCAAAATGAAGAGAGATATGAAAACTTTCTTCTCTAGGTTATATAATCATCTTCATTACATAGACTATACAATTAAAAATGCTATTAATTCTATCTAGAAAATGTTGAGTTTGATGAAAAATGTTTTTAAATAAATTACTTATATAGACTTTGACATTTACTGTTCTTTCGAATTTTATCCTGCTGTATTGTAAGTATGACTATAAGATCTTGAAAATTACATGCAACAGACTCAATACATGCTTTTAAATCATTCGGAAATAATCTCCTTACAGAGACCCATAATGCAATGGCTGTACTTTCTGAGTCAAACCTTCATATGTTGTTAATGGTCTCTGGTAGAACCTTACTGGAGTGTTTGGTGTAGGACATTCTTCGATGATACATGATATTCTCTTCGAAATTACATTTTTGACAAAAAAAAACACTTCCTTCATTTTGTCTAAACTCACAATTTTCTTGCCATACAATATCCCATTGAAGTGTAATAGAATTTTAAATTTTTCTATGATCCCTCGCAATTTCTTGCCTTGTCGAAAAATTTAAATGTTTGAAATTTTAAAATGTTGATTCGAGAGCAATCGTCGACTTAAAATGGATTTTCTTAAAATCATTTTATTTAATATATTATCGAGAGAAATTAATTGATCGCAGTTAAAGTTTTCATTATTTTTGTTTCTTTTTATTAAAATTAGTCTCCACCATTAATTCTTAACAATAAATTCAGCTTTGATTACATATATTTTGAGTAGTATTTTAAACTGTAAAAACAGATCCCGCATCATATTTTAACTACGCTAAGCATTATTTCCTATGGAATTACGATGACGGAAAACAATGAACCTCGTCAATTCGTCATAACTCGTCATAATCGGATCGTACAAAGGACATTAAGCTACAGTTCGGGAAGGTTATACCCTGTCCTTTAACTGTAAAAATTGAGCTAAGTAAACCTGTAACAATGATCAGAAGCAGGGTGAAGGAATTTTCGATTTCTGTCCTTAAAGTTTATCAACAAGCCTACTAAAAAGTTGAAAATATATACAATTTCAAATTATTATCCTTCTTTATTTTACACTTAATGCTTGTTTCTTATTGTAGATAGGGACATTGCTTTGATTTAATGACTTAAACGAAAATCTCAGATAGAAAAACAATGCTTTTTTTCCATAACTTTCTCATAAAGGAATAATGCATTTTTTTTATATTACTTACCCAAATGAATGCCAAGTTAGATATGAGAATAAGGCAAAGGAAATTCATTTTACTTTAGTAGTTACTGATAGGTAAGATGTCTGGTTAGATAAGTTATATCTTTTATGGCTTTGCTTTCCTTTTATTCATCTCTGTTGAAGCTTAAAGAAAATAAATGTAACATTTATACATATTTTATTCTTTCAATAAGTTTCCGTAATACTTAAGTAACGTTATGAATTATACAACAAATAAAGAGAAAACATAATTATGATTATTCATTCAGACATAAAGCTACTCTTGATTATTCAATTTTTCCATCCATTAAAATCGTGGTTTAGAGGTAAAGAAAGAAACTTTGTATTTCAGTTGCTATTCGGGTCAATAATGAGTTGTTATAAAGCAAAGAGACCAGGACTCTCTCTATCTCTCCCTGGTGACAGGCAAACCAACACCTGCCTATCCCGACTGGCCAGTGGACACCTGAAAAGTCTCACATTTTCTGCAAATCAAAAGATCTTTCCTCTTTGCCCTAAATGCCAACAAAACCAGGCATCACCTGAGCACATCTTGATCTGTTTAGGGCTGGACTGGAACGATATTCATTCCTCTCCCATTCTGGTTTCGGATTTTCTCAATATCAACGTATTCATTGATCTGGTATGACCCCATCAGACCAGATGGGAATTAGCAACAACAACATGAGTTCCATTTTTGTATCCAAATAACTATTTTGTAATTTATTTTATAGACCTTATGAAAAGAAAACATATTAAATTGAATGGTAGTGATTATAATTTGAAAGTCAGACATTCTGGTTTACTCGTGGTTTGTTAAGTTTAGAATAAAATACTGGAGTTATGTTATTCATTATTCGACTAATAAAAAAGATCATTTTATACTTTTCGAATTCTAATTTTAAATTTTTGCATTCTGCAAAAAACTTCTTTATATATTTATTTTCGCCGGCCAGGTGGCCGAGCGGTTAGCGCGCCCGACTGCGAAGCCAATGGCCGCGTGTTCGAATCCCGCTCTGGGCAAGGATGTTTCTCTCTCTCGTGTTGTCCTCTGTTGTGTGTGATAAGTGAATGTGGCACATCCTATGAACGGGTTTGTGGCAGTGTGGTGTGGGCATTGTTACTCGTCTCCGTGACTTTGGTTCACAGGTGCCCACTGGGTAACGCGAAATGAGTAACACCTCTGGCATCTTCTAAGTTGAAACGAATAAAGTTTAGTGCCTGCCATTCGAAAAAAAAATTT